TATTGCAGTGTATGAACGGTGCATTGTCCTGGATAGTGAAGCTTAAACGTCCAAGAGAGGGAACAGAGAGAAGGCACCGGGACATCTTCAGTCAAGAAAACTCCATGTAGGATCCTTATCAAATGGATCAAGGCAATATAGTTAAACCATATTGTTGTTTACTTTTGTGCTAAATGAAAGCAATGTTATCATCGGCCATTAGCCAATCAGCTCCAATATCCATGTCAAGTACTGAATTATCCTACATGCAACTTCAGTTTAGTAATTTAAGACCGTTTTCAAAGCATAATTCAAACTGAGGTAAACCACCTCACAAAGCTGCGTCTCTACACACACGATGTAACTCAGTGCTGCCTAAGTTACTGCTGTTTCTTGGTTTATGGTTTGAAAGACTAGCAACTGCTGTGGTTTGACCTAAAGAGGATCCCAATACACAAATAAACAAAAACAAAAGATGAAATACTTTGAAACAGATAACACACAAAGCAGTTACTTAGCTAAGACAATGTGTTGCACTTCTACAACTATTTCACAGAATATTATTTCAAGGAATGTTTTGCTAGAAATGCTTATACCCTACTCCAATTTAGTATACCCTGGAATCATTAAGAACACATGACTTAGAATGAAGCATGTTTGAATTGGAGGGTCCACAGCTGATCTGTTAACGGTGCACAGAGCCAGGAGCCAGAGTCTGCTTTATCTGGAAGCCTGAAGCCCCAAACCCAGACTGAGATGAGGATAGAAGAGACAGGCAGTGCAGGAACAATCACAACAGACTTTTTTTTTTTTTAACTTTTTTGTTTTACAACACATTTTTCAGAACTCATTTTTCTCTCAATTTAATTACAGTAAAAAAAAAATGTAAACATGCAAGTTATTGCAGCTTTAGTACATCAAGATAAATATCAGTCACAGTGGAGTCAGTCTGACCAGAGATTTCACGTCACGTTAGAGATTGTAGCTCCACAGCAGACTTTTCATGTACAGATGAATTCTGAAAACACTTTTCTAGTGTTTATTTGTTAAATTATAAAGTCATTTAGCCAAGAGATGGCTAGCTTAGATTACCTCTGTTCGAATATGCTCCAGCCAACTTCTTCCATTCTCCATTTTAGAAATTTTACATGACACATCCTGAGCTTTAGAAATGCTGGTAAGTGAACTGTGTAACTTGCTTTGGACAGGGTTGGTTTGCTTTCTTATGCTAGGCTGCCATCAGCAGCGTCATATTCACTTCTCTTTAGTGTAAACCTCATTATTAAATTGTCTTGAATACAGTAATAAGCGTCCATTCTAAAATACCGATCCAGTTTTTCCGAGGCGGGTGAGTTCATCACTGGTAAATCAGGTGTTCCTATCTTCTTGTTTGTTTGTTTCAATCTTCCTTGGCCAATTTGAGGCAGCAGAACTGATTGTGGTTTTGGTGTGCAGAAATATAAAACTCAGCTCTAGATAATGATGTTGTTTTCTGACTGCCAGCACAACTTCAAAGAAAATTTGTGATTCACACCTGTTCCTTCTTTCATTTTGCAGTCTCCCAAACATTTTCTTTTTTTGTCCCATAGGAAAGAATCCAGGCTCAGGATTTGCTGAAGATGTTTTCTACACCAGTGGATGCAGAGTTCAGTAAAAATGAGGCCATGCAAACCGAGTCTCAGCCGCTTCCACCAGAAGCTCCAGCCAGAAAAAAAGAAGTAGGAGAGCAGAAGCTCAAGCTGAACACGTCGGGCGATGCACAGACTGACCTGCTGAAGGATGCGGGGGAGGCGAAAACAGCCAGTAAAGGAACCACTAAAACCAAAGCTGCGCCTAAAACAAAGCCTAAAGCTGGAGATCAAACGAAGGCAAAGACGACAGGCAAAGTTAAAGCTGCTGCTGCAAAAGATGGAAAACAGACAGCAAAAACAAAAGCGAAGCAGGGTGATAAACAGAAAACAAAACCAGCCGCAAAAAAGACAGTAAAAGCAGTTAAGAAGGACTCCACCTCAGCACCAGACTCTCAGAGCAACAAGGAGGAATTGTGATCAAACAGCCACTGTTTTCATGTGGGGCCAGCTACTGTCTACTCTGTGGGTGGTTAAATAAAAAGCTGTGTTACAAAATGTTATTTTTCTTTAAATACATTCATTATTTTGGATGTCATTTAAATGGTTGCTGACAATCTGCCCTCTGTGACTCCTTTTGCCCTGTGACAGCTGTGATAGGCTCCAGCACCCTGTGACCCTGAAGTAGATAAGCAGAGGAAATACATTGATGGACAATCTTCACATGTGCCCACAATCACTCTCTAAAC